GTATATACACTGGGTGAATGTGCAGTAGTAGCAGCAAGCAGGTGAATTCTGTACATTAATATGAATAGACATCTGACTATTTTACCGATGTTTTAGTCAATTATTGATTGGTTTGTAGCAGAGAAAGCCAGAAAATATTAAATAATCTTTGGAGTTAGTAATAAACATAAATATGGCATAAACTTTGTCCTTATGGCTGATTACTTATCTGTATTTAAGGCCTAACAGCGCATGACTTGCAATTTTATCTAGTGCTCGGAAATTCGTCACCAACTGATAAAGTGGTTTCAGGCTCATCTAAAGCTACTGTGTTCTGTTTTTCTGCTTTACATGTAAAATTACCTCAGAAAATGATTGCATTTTGGGGTTCTGAGATTAAAAGAGCACATAAAGCAACAAGAATCCCATACGGAAAAGATATATATAAATCTTATAAAGTTTGTATCTCTCTTGTGTTGAACTTGTATGAAAAGCACACAAGAGTGAAAGCAGATATAAGATCCCTTGAAAAATTATATAAATGAAACTTGTATGTTTTGGATACTTCCTACAACAATATATAAAAGTAATGAGAAAGTGGCCACTTTCATGAGTAAATCATATAAGCCTTATATGATTTATATATGAAGCAAGCTAAAGCTGATGCAAGTCTTTTATAAGTTTTTTCTATTTCTTTTCCAAATGGGAAGTAAAATAAACAACATGAGCTTAATAAACTTATTAAAGACACAAGAAAAAAGCCAAAAAGGAGAAGTAATAAAGTGAAGTAATAATAAATAATGAAGTAAAACAAAATGAAGTATACAAAATTAAGATAAGACTGATGTCTTGTTCATAACAACAACCCTTTCACTTCCAGCCAAAGTATATAAAACCTTTGAGGAAGTGGCCCCATCAAAACAGCACATTTTGTGCACATGTAACTAATTGTACAGCTTACAAAAGATCTTGATAATTATCAAAGCAAAACTAAGACTTCCCCTCTTGTGAAGACGGCCCACTGATGTTTGCTGCTTCTCTGAAACATTGTATCTGTAAATGAAAACTCAGATACACCCTCCGTTATGGCTCTACTGTCCAAAGGCCAAGGCAGCACAGAAGGTTAATGAAACTGTATAACAGAGTCCTTCCCTCTCAGTGAGAGTTTGTCTGCGTGGAGCTGAAGCAGCCAGCATGTCTCCGAGGATCCTTGTAACGCTCCTGGCCGTGTCCTGTGCTGTTTCTGCTCAGTCAGACGTGGAGAGCCAGGCGAGGGAGTTCCTGGACAGGTTTGACAAGGAGGCGAGTGACCTTATGTACCAGTACTCGCTGGCATCATGGGCCTACAACACCAACATCACACAGGAGAACGCAGACAAAGAGGTCAGCACTTGGAAAACACTTACTTTAAAATGTGGTTATTTTGTTACTGAGTTATAAAACCTGAAGTCATTCTCCACAGGCAGAACAGGGAGCGATCTGGGGCACGTTTTACAACAGAATGTCTGAAGAGTCCCAGAAATACCCCATCGACCAGGTCAACGACCTGGAAATCAAATTACAGCTCATTTCCCTACAAGACAAAGGCTCTGGTGCTTTGTCCGCAGATAAAGCTGCACATGTAAGATTATTTAAATATTAAATTCAACTTTGGCAAATTTTCATTTGGACAAACTGCACAGATATAGTAGTCTTCCACACCAAATGAAACATTTTATCGCTGTGTATTCTTTCATATCTTCCTGTAGCTGAATAAAGTCATGAGTGAGATGAGTACAATCTACAGCACAGCCACAGTGTGTATGCTTGACAACCCGCTTAACTGTCTGACTTTGGAGCCAGGTAAGCTCTCCTTATTAGGACCTGTTGTAGTGAAGTGGCTGCCTGCTGCTGTCAAAGACAGGCAGAGCAGTTTATTCGCTAAGAAGATGAAAATGTGTCTGTTTGGGACAAAAGTTTGTATTTGTTGCAGTAAAGCTACTTTCGTCACAAGGGACCGCAGCAGCGGGCAGCTCCACGTGTGATTAGTAAATGAAATCATCATAAAATAATAAAATAGCACTAATTCATTGCTATCTCCTCACAGTCAGAAGGCTCTGGGTTTGAATGTTGTGGCCTGGTGAGGGCCTTTCTGTTTGCCCTGCACAGCTTTTATCCGGGTTCTTGACTTTCTTCCCGTGATCCAATAGAATTCCCTGTTAGATGCATTTGCGATTTTAAATTTGACGTAGGGGTAAATGTGAGTGTGGATGGTTGTCTGTCTTTTTTAAGCCTGTAATGGACTGCCTACTTGCCCAAGGCGCACACCTGTTCTTGATCAGTGTCAGAATGGATACAGGAACAAACCCAACTTTACTTTTTTTTCTTTTTTTTTAGTTTAGTTTTTTGGGGGGAGAATATGGGCATTTTTCTGTTTTCTCACTTCAGTGTGAGCCTGCCCTGACACCGCTCTGTGTCTTTACTTGTTTACAGGACTGGACGAAATAATGGCCACTAGTCGAAACTATGACGAACGTCTCCATGTGTGGGAGGGCTGGAGGAAAGAAGTAGGAAAGAGGATGAGACCTCTCTACGAAGACTACGTGGATCTGAAGAATGAAGCTGCCAAGCTAAATGGTGAGGAACTAATATGAAAAAATAATGAATAACAGACAAGCTTCATTGCGGTGTGTCCTGATGCAGACTCTAACTTTATCAGGGACCTGTAGAGATATAAACTGATTCTCAGTGAAGATAGTGAGACAAGAGCTGATAGTGTTCAGCGATCATGACCACTCCTCCACCACTGAGGTCTAATTTTGCTTTGGCAGCATCTCGCTCATGTAACACTAGTAGTGTCATATCTTACATTATGCTTTATAAGTGTGATTACCATCAATGCTAAAAACACCAAAAAATGTAAAAAAGCATTTAATTTGGTGTTTTTTCTTGATCTCTGACACAAATGCTTATTGTGTGCAGGTTTTGAAGACTATGGCGCTTACTGGAGATACAACTATGAGACTCTTGAGGACGACATCATGTACCATTACACAGGCGATGAGTTAATGGAAGATGTCCGTGTAATATACAAACAGGTACGTCCTTGTCTGTGTGACGCATGCTTCACGCTTCAGTGCCTCTGTGTTAAAGACAGTTAGAATGTGCAGTTGGTTATTGACTGTGTGACGTAATTAACATAAATTATTTATAATAATTGTAACAAGAATAATACACTGGGGTTTTTTCCCCCCCCACAGATCCTGCCTTTATACAAGGAGCTGCATGCCTATGTGAGAGCCAAGCTTATGGAGGTCTATCCAGGGCATATTGATTCAGATGGATTTCTCCCAGCCCACTTGCTGGGTATGTTTCTGGTTTCAAAGCTAATAATGAAACCAAAGACACTGACACTAAATATCCACCTACTACTCTCATAATTACATTTTTTATATGCTTTAATTTTACAGAGTTGGTGTTTTTGGCATAAATTCAGCACAGTTGCGAAACAAATTTGAGAGCGGCATCAGGAGCTTATTATTATCATGAAAGAGTCAAGATTCAAATCTGTTTTGTCATATACAGAAAATTAAGATCTTCACTTCCTGTCCTCTCTGATTATCAGGCTACAAATAACTTTTAAAGAAAACGTTTGAGTGTGTGTGTGGGGGCGGGGTATTACATTTGATTCCCCCTATTATCATTGCTCCCTCATGTCTGCACTTTCTGTAATATTTTCTTATTTGATCCTTGGTTTAAGTGTAGAGTCTTTGTTCATGGGGCTTGTGGGATACCTGACGACAAGAAAAGAGTAATTGACAACATATAACTGTAATCTGTAAACTGTAACAACAAAAATGTTGTTGACAGAGCAGATAGTTCATGCAAGGTCTCATAATTTCAGAACTGAAAGTGTGTCTCCCTCTGCTGTTCATGTATTATCACTACCTCTCTGTGCTACAGAAAAATAATGCCAACACACGTATTATATTGTACATGTGGCTTTTAGCTGGAGATAACTGATCCACCCACACGCATTGTGCACATATAAAAAGCTACAGTCTGCTGTAGAAGGAGAAAATTTATGAAAAAATAATTTTCTTATTTGTTGGTTGTTCAGGTGACATGTGGGGAAGATTCTGGACCAACCTTTATTCTCTAACAGTGCCCTATCCTGACAAACCAGATATCGATGTCAGTCAGTCTATGGTGGACAAGGTATTGCAGAACTTTTTATTTATATATAAAAAAAAAAAGACAGCCCTGTGACTTGGGGTTATCTGTCCAGGGTGTACCCTGTGTCTTGTCCTATGGTAGATAGAGTGGATGGATGGAAAATAAATATGTATACTCAGAAATTCCCTACCTGTCATCTTAAATTTCAGGGTTGGACCGAGCTTCAGCTTTTCCAAGAAGCTGAGAAGTTCTTCATGTCTGTGGGCCTTTACAAGATGTTTGACAACTTCTGGACTGACTCTATGTTTGTACATCCCGATGATGGACGCAATGTGGTCTGTCACCCCACAGCCTGGGACATGGGAAACAGAAAGGACTTTAGGTAGAGTATACACAGCTACACTACTGTGCAACAGTCTTAAGACACCTGTCATTTCTTTATGAGTTAACCAGTTTTGTATCTACAGACAACTAACAACTTAGCAAAGAACAAAACTTACATTTCTTAAGGCACCTTGTAAAATTGAAACTCAGTGTTAGCAGATCTCACGCAGCGATGAATCCATATGTGAATTTTCTGGTTCAAATCAGTGTCAAAATAGAAAGAGGAGGTCGGTAGAGAGATACAGTGAGACTCTGATTTTGATCCACAGTGGGATGTGGTATTTGTCTGGTTGGCAACAACAATGATCCCAAACACACTTCGGATAAAGTAAAAGTGTACCGGATCAATCTTTCAATCTTGATTGAAAAGCATGCAATGGAACACTATCAGTGATGGGTTGGTCTCCCCAGAGCCCGGACCTTAACATTATTGAAGCAGTGTGAGATCACCTTAGAAAAAAGAACAAAAAACAGCCAACATCCAAAGAAGAGCTTTGAATGTCCTCCAAGATGCCTGGAGAACTATTCCTGAAGACTTCACAAAGAAATACAATGCAATACAACTTTATTTATATAGCACATTTAAAACCAAAGGTACACCAAAGTGCTTCACAACAAGGTTAAAACATAAGATGAAAGATAGGCTATAACAGTTATAGCTATGAAAGGCTATAACAGAGTACAAAAAACCCCAAAGGTACAGACAGAGTAAGAAGTAAAACATTAGAGCATGGTTTAGAAGATAAAATTACAGGGTATCCATAAATATAAGGTGGGGGTATTTATGCAGTGGGACATTAGTAGGAAGATAAGTAACATAAGGGTAAAATATAGGGGAAGTGCACCAGCTAACTGAAAATGCTCGGTCAAACAAGTACGTTTTTAACTGAGATTTAAATGCCAAGATTTAAATCGGAGATTTTAGAAGCGCAAATAGCAGCAGGAAGATTGTTCCAGAGGCTCGGGGCTGCCAGGGCAAAAGCACGGTCACCTCTGGTCTTTAGCCGGGATCTAGGCTGCACTAAGAGTAATTTTCCTGATGATCTTAGGGCTCTCCTAGGGGTATATGGACGAAGGAGTTCAGTGAAGTAGCACGGTGCAGTATTGTTTATGATTTTAAAGGTAAGCAACAGAATTTTAAACTCAATTCGGTATTTGACAGGGAGCCAGTGCAGGTCAGCAAAGACTGGAGTGATAGAGGCAAACCTTGTCAGAAGCCTATGAAGAAGGGTGGAGTGGAGACCAAAGTAAAGGGAATTACAGTAGTCTAATCTAGAGGTCACAAAAGCATGGATTTGTTTCTCAAGGTCCTTGTGTGGTATGTAGTGCTTGGCCTTGGAGATTTGACGCAATTGGTAGAAACTAGATTTAACTATAGTGGATACTTGCTTGTCAAACTTAAAGGAGCTGGCAAAGAGAACACCTAAGTTGCTAACAGTGCCAGAAAGAAAGGCGGCAAAGGGTCCTTGACAGAAATGACAGAAAGCTTGTTAAGAGAGTTCAAGCTCTCCTAGGCAAGAGGAAAAAAGGTGTATATACAAGATGTCGACTTTCAAGCTCCTTCGAATTGTACAAACTCTGTGTTTGCCATTTATACTGTATTTCCAAGCCTGCATACTTCAGTTATTTGATGCTCATTGTCTTAGCAAAACGTAGCAAGACATGAAGAACAAGAGGTGGCTCAGAACCTTTGCTTTATCTATCCATCTGTCTATTTATCTAGGTTTGACTTTTGTTAAAGCAAGTTGGCAGCTGGGAATTATGATAGCCATAAAAATAAACCTATTGGAACACTGATGTTGTGATGCTATTTAATCGCTGAATCATCCTTTTCTGCTGATAAAGATAACCAAAGTCTAGGTTGTAAAATATTCATATAATTTCCCCAACACTGCCTAGAATAAAGTTTCTCAAAATGCAAAATAAGCAAAATAATTTTATAGTTACTCGTGTGTCAGTTTGGTTTAAAATTACAGGAAAAGAATTTGCGTGTAAAACTGAAGTCCTCTACCTCTTTTTAATGAGTTATTCTGCTTTTAGTGATTGGAGTTCACTTAGTTCACTATTGCTCTCTTACTGGTCGCTGATCACAGTAGTATGAAGTGTCTCTGTCACACAATGTAATTGCTGATATCAGCATTTCTCCCGTGATATCTTCAGGATCAAGATGTGCACCCAGGTTAACATGGACAACTACCTCACAGCACACCATGAAATGGGACACAACCAGTACCAGATGGCTTACCGCAACCTGTCCTACCTTCTGAGGGACGGAGCCAATGAGGGTTTCCACGAGGCTGTTGGAGAAATCATGTCCCTCTCTGCTGCAACACCCAAACACCTACAGAGCCTGAATCTCCTGCCTGCTGACTTTGTTTATGATCAAGGTACAGCCGTTGCGGGCAGCACTGGTGCTTCAAAACATTAAAGCTGCTTTAACCAATAGATTTATAATAACAAGAAACAGGTGAACGAGTAAGCTACAGAGAGCAATCACCTAACTCTGCAGTTTTTGTATGCAGCATTTTAACTTCTTTCAGCTCATTGTTTTAGTTTTCTGTCCCCTCAATTTTACAGGAGCATTCAATATATACCCAACATTAGAACTCAGGTAGTCGCAATTGCTGGTGTCTCACTTCTACAGACAACCTCAAAGGACAACCTGAGGAACTGCCGTTTCTGGCATTTGGGCACTGGCTTGATTTTTCTGTCCTGATGCTTGCCCCTTGTTGCATAATAAGCTGTTGGCCAGTAACCAAGTTGTCAACATGAACATAGATATTATGAACACGTTGACCTTGTTTTTATTGCCTCTGCGTAGCAAAAAAATATATATATTTATTGCAGATTTAATTTTGCAATGTGTCTGGATTATTAAATGTAGGGTTAAGATAACTTAAGCACTACATGCGATATCAGGATAAGATGACCTGCAGCCTTATGCTAACTGGTATTCAAACTGTCATCGATTTACAGTCTCTGATAAAGAGGCCATAAACATAAAAATAAAGCATTTGTAAAATGTAATTACGTTCTCACTCTGAATCATAAACTGTCTTTGTGTTTAATGCTTTACAGACACAGAGATCAACTTTCTGCTGAAACAGGCACTCACTATTGTGGCCACCCTGCCTTTCACCTACATGCTGGAGGAATGGAGGTGGCAGGTGTTTGCAGGGAACATCACCAAGGATGAATGGATGCAACGCTGGTGGCAGATGAAGTGAGCAGAGTTAGGCAATATTTAGTATAAAGTTTACTTCAATGTCATCAGATTACAGTTAGGTTCATACTTTTTTTGCATCTGATTTTAAAATCCCTATAGAGATTTGAAAATCAAACAATATGCAAATGAGGTGCAGAATTTCTTGCACTTAATGAAAACTGTTCATGCAAACTTAGGAATTACAGCCATTTAAAAAAAAATGAATTCAATTCCATGAAAAATAAATCCAAAGATTTAGAGTTCAATTGAACTGTTGAATTTAAATTTGTCTGCTTTTCACTAGAATCTCAATTTGATGTTCAAAGACTTAAAGTAAAGTAGGCCAAATTATGCTGAATAAACCAACATAAACCTGTTAAAAAGAATAGGAGTGACCAAATCAAAGTTATTAAAAAGAATTAATGCACAGGCCAGCTCGATAACACCAAAAGGCTTAAAAGAGCACAGAAGACAACTAAAGGAGATCATGGCAAAAATGTTTCCTCCACAACATCACAACACTCTCAAGAAGGTCATTGTACCGTTATGGAAGTCTATAACGTAGATGTGCCTTCTTGACTAGAAATGCAAAGAGTTTACAACAAGGTGCAAACCAGTCACCTAATCTCAACACAACAGAGCCTTCTTTGTAGTTATTAAATGCAATGCAGCAACTGAATATTGATGCAATAAAGACCTGTGAGAACATTTTAAGTGAAGACACGGTTTTTGATGTCCATCCTTCAAGCAGCCACCAAGAACAAAGGAGTTTTTAATCCAAGTTTTAATAACAGTCCTTAAATGTAAAAGTTTGCCTCTGCCTTTGTCTCTAACTCCTAAACTGTAAATGCAAAACCGTAGTTAATCCTTCGAATTAAAGTCAGCACTTCAACCACATCTTAATTGTTCAAGTTAAAATCCATTGTGGATTGGTTCTGCTGGCAGCTGGGCAAAATTACAACAAAAACACAACAGAAATGTTATTACAAAGCAGGCATAACTGTAGGGAAGTGACTTGAAAACTAGAGAACTAAAAGAAGGTCTCACTTCACTGCAGGCCTGACAGCTTGTATTATTGATTCTGTGTTGTTTTAATAGGAGAGAGATGGTTGGGGTGATGGAGCCAGTGCCAAGAGATGAGACTTACTGTGACCCACCCGCTCTGTTCCATGTGTCTGGAGACTATTCATTCATCAGGTAACAATCCCAATCTAAAGCTGCATTTTGTGTCAATAACACTGCAGATTGTGGATTGACTTAATTCTTAAATTATAGCAGTTATGACCATTTGGTGCAGTTCCCAGTTCACTTTAAACTGAACCTGTGTGTGTGTGTGTGTGTGTGTGTGTGTGTCCATTTGTTACTGCTTTCGATCCAGGTACTTCACACGAACCATCTACCAGTTTCAGTTCCAAAAAGCGCTCTGCGATGCGGCCGGTCACACGGGCGACCTGTCTGCATGTGACATCACTAATTCTATGGAAGCAGGAACCAAGCTAAGGTGCATACAACTTCTCTTTCTTCATTTTTAACCTCGCTCGCTTGATTTTCTTATCACAACAGTCTGTTTATGTTTTCTAGGAAGTCCATGTAGCTATTTGAAATTACAGCATAAATGGTGCCGGATTTCAATTTTGCTCTAGCACATTGTATTACGTTTTTGTTCTTCACGTCTAAAAGTGCTGGAATAATTTATCATCATCATCATCCTCATTGTTTTCTTCTAGGAATATGTTAGAACTTGGAAGGTCTAAGTCTTGGACCAGGGCTTTGCAAGCAATATCTGGTGACACAAAGATGGATGCCCAACCTCTGCTGGACTATTTCCATAAACTTTATGAGTGGTTGCAGGCAGATAACAAGAAACACAACAGGGTGGTAGGCTGGAGTGAAGCTCAATGTAAGTACAAAAGATACCCAAAATGAAAATTATTAGCACTAAAACCATCTATCTGGAGTAATAGTATTTAGTGTTTTTTGAGATTGATACCGCTCTTCCTGATGCCACTACTTGATAAAAGACTGAATGTGGGAAGGAAACTCTCTGTAGTCTGTACTTGCACGTGTAAAGTGCATTGAATTATTTGTACACAAACTTTAGAACTGACAGTAATTTACTTGAATCTAGTTGTCATCGTCCAGCATAATACAGCTTTCAAAATGCCGTTTTGTTTTTTTTTACAATTTGCTTTTTATACTCAAAGAAGACAACATTTTAATTAGTGTCACAGTCTTCTGTTCCCAACCATATGTCCTTAATTTATCACCTAACTTCTCACACTTTTCCTGGTCCTGTTAGCCTTTAAGCTTTCATTAATTCTCAAAATCTTAAAATCAAAAGTCAGCTTTTGGGTCCTCACCCCTACAGCTATCTGTTCTTCCTTATTTCTAGACTTTATGCTAGTTAATGTAATATGCTGGAGCACATTTATCATACAGGTATACATCTTTAAAGTGTCTTTAACTGATTGTTGTTCTCATTACAGATCCAGAATATTCAATTAAAGTGAGACTAAGTTTAAATTCTGCAATGGGTGATGATGCTGTGAGTACTAAAAATCATCATTGCACCAGAAATTTTGCAGGAATTCTGCACTTATGAAGTTAAATACTGTCTGTTTAACGTCATGCCCATTGTTTTGCTTTTTTTATGTGTTTCAGTACCCCTGGAATGCCAATGAGCTTTACCTGTTCCGGGCCAACATTGCTTATGCCTTGAGGCAGTACTACAGCCAGAAGAACAAGACTCTTCCTTTCACGTCAGTATGAGGTCGATATTTTGTGCTTTAAGCAAAACAAAAAAATTGTTTGGTTTGAGTTTTCTCTGTTTGCACATGCAGAACAACTAATGTCATCACCTATAAGGAGACTCCCAGAATCTCTTTCTACGTTGTCGCCAAAAACCCAAATACACCCACTGAATTCATCCCAAAGAATGAGCTGAAGGAAGCCATCAGGTGAGGATCAAGTGCGTGAGTGGCTAAATACAGAATATCCCAAAGCACTGAGCTCAGCATCCTAGGGTAGCTGCAGTAGCCAAGCAAATTCATTTATTTAAAATCTTTTTAGTTGCAGTTTTTAGCTGGATGGAAATGTTGAACTTCAGTAACATGGCACAAATTGCCATCAAATTGCTGTTTTATTCACACATTCATGGTCTTTACAGGATTAGTCGCAGGTGTCTTTGGTGATCCATGGCTCAAACCTTTTTCTTATGAAATGAATTGTGAACTCTTTAAAATATTTTTAAAAATGTCTTGGCACAGCTATAACAACAGCATACATTTATAACATATTCTTTTTATTTTTTTTATTATAAGAGTTGTAATTTAACTCCCTCCTGCTACACCTGAAATAACCAACCTGGCAGTAATGTCGCCTGTGCCTGTTTATGAGTTGTAAAGCAATAATAAAGTCATTTAAAATCTATTCCAGGTTAGCTCGAGGCCGGATCAACGACGCCTTCAACTTAGGTGATAATACTCTGGAGTTTGCCGGTATCCTACCAACACTGGCCTCACCCACTGAGCAACCTGTGCAGGTGTGGCTGGTGGTATTTGGTGTGGTTATGGGCATTGTGGTGGTAGCCGGCGTCTACCTTGTCGTCTCTGGTGTCAAGGAGCGCAGGAAGTGAGTAGACCCAAATATACACTACTAAAAGTTTTAGAACTGCTCAATTTCTCCAGTTATTTACTGCAATTCAAGTCATTCAAGTCCAATGAATAGCTTGATAACTGAAAAATAATGTACATTTCAGAATTATACAAAAAGGCCTTTTTCAGGGAACATAAAATGGGTTAAAATTTAAAGCTGTTCTGCAAGTCTCAGTTTCAACTGTGAAGAGAAGACTTCGAGCTGCAGGTTTAACAGGATGAGTTGTGTATGTGTGTTTTAATTATATGTAGATATTACAAGTCTGTCTGTGCAGTTGTATGTTTTTACCATCAGAGCTTTAGTCTGCCCCTTTTCACAAATGATATCTTGACTTCACATAGACTTGGTGACTAAATGAGTAAAATAAAAATATTCCAATTAAATTAATTATGTGCATAATGTTTCTGTGTTTATAGGAAAAAGCCTGGTGTGGAGAACCCCTATGAGTCATCCACTGATGGACAAAGCAACAAAGCCTATGATGACAGTGACAATGAGCAAACTGGATTCTGAGTCTACCGCTGTCGTAGAAGATCAGAGGGAAGATCAGTACTTGTGTCCAGTGATCTCATAGCCTTCCCAGAAATGGGAAAGTAAAGCTTTAAAAGTTCTCTTCTTCTTTCATCAGTGCTGCATGGCCTCCAATCAACAATAACAGAACATTAACAGTGCTAAATGTGAAGCATTATGCTGAAGGTTGTTAATTGGCAACAGTGAATAACCCTGTTAATGAACAGTATCCTTAATTGCCATTTACATAGTATACTTCCATGTGAGTGTCATTAAAGTGTTATTATACAGTATTTTGTGATACAATAAGTAACAAGTTTAACACACTGCCTTACCTCCCTTTTTGAAACCCTTTTACTTACCTGTGCAATTATGTATATTTAACTGTTTTGGTAATAATAATAATAATAATAATAATAATAATAATAATAATAATAATAATAATAATAATACCGGTTTAAAGTAGAAATGGCACGATACCACTTTTTTATGTCCGATACCGATACCATAAATTTGGATATCTGCCGATACCGATATGAATCCGATATAGTGTTTTTTAATCAACAAAACTGTTTTTTAAATATCTTGCTGCATTTTGTATAAGTTCATACTCAAGTTTAAAACAACAACTACACTAAAGCTATTCTGTTATACCTGTATGCAAAAAAAAAAATTTCATAGTTCAGCAATACTGATCAATCTAATAAACTTAAACCTACACCATCCTCCCTATTCTGGTATTTTAAAGAGTACTTAGCATAAATATTAAGCAACCTAACTAATAGGGTTCCAACTCCCAGCAACAACAAAAATAAATAAATAAAAAATAGGGAACCACCCCTCACGCTCCACCTCATGATGCTTAATCGACGTAATCAACCTTAATTTGATGCAGTGTGAAAAAAAAAGCACAGAAATCATTTATTTTTCAAGAAATATTAAATAGATTCAACATCTTTCTTCAACAAAATTGCAGACTGCACAGATGGTACCTTCCCGAAGGAAAAAGTACTATAGCTTACTAGGGTATATATATTAGACTTAATAGTTACTATATACAGTAATTGACTTCTATTCATTTTACATCAAATTAAAATTTTGGGTGTCAGATAATTATTTATTAAAAGCTCGACATTTTAAATGAGAATAAGAAAGAAAAGTATGTCTTTGTGCCCCCTTTTCCCTGTTCATGCCCTATCGGCCCCCCTGGCTAAACTTTGCTAGATCCGCCCCTGCACAGTTACCAGCCGTCAGCTACGTAGAAAAAGATCCTGGAGTAGAAAGTAATATTAAATACATTCTAACAACAGCTGATCAAGCTTAAACGTGCTGCTGTTGTTCAGCCGCTGGTTTCCTCTTTCTGGTGCAAAGTGGGCCAAAAGCAAACTAGAGACACAGACTCGCGACAGAAAAGCCGATCAGCTGATCGTTAAGCAGTTTCATGATTGAAGTAGCAGCAAGAAGAGGCAGTCGCTCCATATATCGCTTGTTAAGCTTAACGCAGGAATGCTTTACAAACATTCAGAGATGGACTTACACACTTGCTTTACTTCTCTCGGGATAACTTTGTCGGAGATGAAATGCCGGGTTGCTAGCGAAGCTCCAAATGCTATCCAGACCACCGACAGGTCCCCATGCCACAGCCGCTCTATCACGTGATGCATACTGCTCCGACGTGCTAACGTTCTGAGGTGAGTTACGGCGTGTTGCAAGTTTTGTGAGGTGCTTTCGTGATATTTAATGGATCGGATTACATTTTTTATTTTTCTCCGATATCCGATCCAGTAATTTAGGTCAGTATCGGATATCGGAACGATACCGATACGTAATATCGGATCGGTCCATCTCTAGTTTAAAGTATCATTTTAAAAATAAAGTTCATAATTGAAAAAGTTAGGCAAATTCAAGTCACATTTATGATGATGCCACCTACGTGTCAAAATGCACACTTCAATCACAGCACACATTTCGTTTTAGTCTAGTTTACTGTGTTTTCATATCAAACCTGAGAGATTTCCTAAAGTATCAAATCTTGTCATTATACACCTAGATGCTAAAGAAAAATGATCAAATAAAAACATGAATGTTGCATTAAAAAAATTCTGCTACACAGTTTACCAATGGAACTTTTTTTTACTTGTCAGCTGCGCATGTGTACAAAAAAAGACATTTCTTTCGCAAGCAGTGAGTGACCATTAAGCGAAAAGGAGAGTATTACATTTGCATGAGTTGACATTATACAATCAAAGCCTAAAGGTGTGATTTCCAGGACGTCTGAGATGTGTTATTAAAAAAGAATTCTAAATATGTTTGGTTGTGTTAATGCATTGGGCCATTATTTATCGTTCATGTAATGTGTCATTTTTCCTTACAATGTCTTATAATATATTGGAAACAGTATTGTTGTATCAAACATATAGATTATACAATATGAGTTCAAAAAAGAAAACAAACAAACAAAAAAATTCAGCTTGAAAGACTTTAAACAACAACGGACCCCAGCTCTGTTTACGTATCAGTACACGGTACATATCAGACATCCTAGGTCGCAGGCCAATGATTGATTTTGTAATCGTATCTTTGGAACTGCTGCCCTATATTCCCGACACCAAGGAACACTTGATCGCTACGTTCGCCTGGTGGTGAGCTGGATCAGGTGGTGGGACAGGATGCTGGATGGGCGTGGCATATCTAAACACAGAGTGAGGGTGTGCTGGGAGTGTTGGGTTTACGCTCTGGTCTGTGAAATGTCAAATTCCCACTTCTAGCAGAAATTTGACAACATTGTGAGGGAAATAGGGAACAGTGAGGCCCCTTGGCCGTGTTCCCAACCTCCATTGTTGAGGTTGCTGCAATGAGCTGCGGCTGCAAGGTGGGTGGTGCCCTTCTTGGTAGGGCCAGGTGGAGTGTGGCTCTGAAGCAAAAACTTGAATGTGTTTGGTGAGAGCATGCATTAAGACTTTCAGTCAGCCTCAAAGTGATTCTAGCAAATCTTCAGGCAACTCAGAAACTTGCGGTGTGTGGTACGGGTGCTGCCAGTTTCAACTGAGGATGTAAGTCAGATGGCGGAAGGAATACTTTGAGGATCTCCTCAATCCCACAGACTTACCTTCTGTAGAGGAAGCAGAGCCTGGGTACAAGAAGGATGACCCATTCATCACTTGGGGTAAGGTCACTGAGGCAAGTAAAAAACGAAAGCGTAACACTACAGTTGGTGTCTGAGATCATTTTCCACGTCATCTCTCAGGTAGGGACATGTGGAATGACAGCTGTGTAAAGGCATAGCCTTAAAGAGTTAGAGAACTATGGATTTCTGCAGCAGCAGAATTTGAAACATGGATGTTGGTTTGTGTTGTTGAACCAGGTCACACGAAATATTTACAAGAATTTTTTTAAAAATGTAACTGACTTTTCTGAGTCCTGAAAATGCAGAGGAAAATGACTCTCCGTCACTTTTGAATGACGAAGAGGAAGGACTGATCCACTGTATGTCCATCCAGGGTTGCCACGCCCACTGTGTCTGTGTTGCAAACGTTGATGAACCAACCGCTATACAATGCTGACTCAAATCTCCGTCGTCTCGCTGAGTCACCCTTCATGTAAAACACAAAGGAGAGGGTACTCTCATCGCTCTTGGAGATCTGCTTCAGCCTCTGCTTCTCACATGTCTAAAGGGATGAAAGCGTGGATTAGTTTGCTTGAAAATGGCAATTTCCTTATAAACATCTTCAAGTCACAATGAAATGAAGTACAACTGAGACAACAATGATTGTCGAACTGAGACAACGAACTGAGACAACAAGACGTTTCACCTCTCATCCGAGAAGCTTCTTCAGTTCTAACTAACTAGAACTGAAGAAGCTTCTCGGATGAGAGGTCTTCAAGTAACTTAAAGAAGTCCAGACGCTTTTCTTTGCAAGCTCCTTTGACTAATACTTAACTCTAACTCAATCTCCTAATTATTTCATTTTGCAAATGATTTCAATTCTGATGAAGATGATCTCTTCATTGTGGCACCTGTTAGTGGGTGGGATATATTCACCAGCAAGTGAACATTTTGTCCTCAAAGTTGATGGGTTAAAAGCGGGAAAAACGGGAAACAGTAAGTATTTCAGTGAGTGTGACAAGGGCCAAATTGTGATGGCTAGATGAGTGGGTCAGCACAGCTCCACAACTGCAGCTCTTGTGTTCCTGGGCTGCAGTGGTCAGTATCAAACATGGTCTAAAGAAGGAACACCAGTGACCCAGTGACAGGCTCATGGGCAGCCAAGGCTCACTGATGAGCGTAGGGAGCGAAAGCTGACCCTACATGCATCAGACTGCTGAAAAAGTCGATGCTGGTCCTAAACAAAGTGAAAGAACTAGAAAAGCTTGAGAATGCAGAGTGCATCGCAGTTTGTTGTGTAAGGGACTGCATAGCCACAGCCCCTGCTGTTCACCACTGAAAACACCAGCAATGGGCATGTGAGCATCAGAATTAGACTGTGGAGCAGCTACAGATGATGGTCTGGTTTTGTTTTACATTACGTACCTGGAAACACCTGGCACCAGGATGTTCTATGGGAAGAAGGCACGCCAGTGAGGCAGTGTGATGCTTTTATATATATTCTTCTGGGAAACATTGGGTCCTGCCATTCATGTGGATGTAATTTTTGACAAGTACCACATACCTAAGTTTTGTTGCAGACCATGTACACCCTTTAATAGAAATGGTACTTTCTGAAGACTGTGGCCTCTTTCAACAGGATAAAATGCTCTTCCACAAAGCAAAAGTGTATCAGGAATGGTTTGAGGAGCATATCTTCAGTTTGAGGTATTGACTTGGTCTCCAAATTGCCCCAGATCTAAATCCAATTGAGCATCTCTAGGATGTGCTGGACAAAAAGTCTGACCCATGAAGGTCTCACCTCATAACTAAAGGGATCTGTTGCTAACATCTTGGTGCCTGATACCACAGTCCATGCCTCAGTGGGGAAGGCTAATTTTGGGACCAACACAATATTAGGCAGGTGGTCGTAATGTTATGCCTAATCTGTGTGTATTTAAAATTTTGATATTACTACTAATTTGAGATGCTAATTATTCTGCCATTATATATTTTTTGTAACATAAGCAAATCTTTTAAAGTGAGAAGTGTATCTACATAGAACAAAGGACAGGAACAGGCATGCAATGCTTTCATCCCCTGAACAATGATGGCTGAGTCCAGAGAAACAAATGTTTATCAAGCCTTTTTTTTCACTGCCATGATTCAGTCAAAATCAATAGCGTACACTTATTACCTCCACTTTAAGGAACACCCTGTCCGCTTGCTTGCAGCACATGAGGAAGCAGTTGGAATCGGTGAGGTTTAGCACCACTGGCATCCCACTGGAACCCCTTCTGAAACCGCTTGACTTGTAGTAGTAGATAGTAATTTTCTCTGAGCACAAAAGGAAACCAAAATAATGAGAGCAGTTTCTCTATCAGAACAGAGTATTTTCTTACTCTACCTAACACTGGAGTAAATGTGAATGATGACAGCTTCAGTAAAAACTCATCTGAAAACCACGAGTGCCACGTTGATGTGTCCTGCTCTGAAAGACAAACCTGGATTTGGAGAAGCATAGACGATCTTCTCAGAACAGATACCTCGGAGGTATTGGCGAGTGGCCAGATTTTCAATTAAAACATTCGACAACTTTTCCTGCCGGAAACTGCCGCCTCCTCTCGGAACTGAAAGTAAGAATGGGAACAAGGGCCCCTGTTTATAAGTCATATCCCTTTTTAAAAACAAAGGTGACTGCACTGACCGTTTTCAAACTGTGATTTCACAGCAGTGGTCTTGTGTTCTTTACATCGATCTCGACTTTCACAGGTTTCATTTTTCCTTTATGAGATTTAATGTTGCCAGTTGAAGGCAGTTGTACAACACATAAGTTATCTATAGGGGTCTGCAGAAAAACTGCCTAGTCAAGGTCATAACAGCTGCCAGGACACATTTTGGTTCATGGGTGTAAACATGCGACCATTCTCAGTAGCTTCCTCTTTAGATAACCACAAATATACAGAAGCAAAAGAAATACCCAGTTGCCTCACAACATTCAAACACTTTAATGCATTAAATACTGTAAATATTGCTGTTAGCAAAGTTAATTATGAGAAAAGGCAGGAGAGTAAAACTGCTTTTACTCACCGAGCGTCACCGTGCTGGATTCTGCCACCATGATGATGTCATTAAATGTACATCCTGTCTTATCACAGCCCCTGCCTCTCACCAGAGAGATGCTAGTTTTTGTCATCTCAACAACAAACATCTCATTCTCCTCAGTTTTCGCTTGGCAAAGATCCTCTTCAATATTCCCCGTCTCCTTTTCTTCTTCCTGCGGTTCCACTACAGGTCCCTCCGGGTCATCCTCCCTTGTCATCTCCCAGCTAAAGCTGATGAGTGTGGGCTCTTTAGAGACTGGTTGTAAAGTGTCTTCAGTCAGGGATGTCTGCTCAGTGTGGTCCTCTTCCTTGGCTGGTTTGCACACTGTCTGAAGAGAACGAAGAGAAACAGGATAATATAAAATACCCCCCAAAACCAAAATAAACACAGAAAAAAGATGTTCGCAGGTAGCATTTACCAAGAAGATGAAGAACATAAGCACAGAAATTTGAATCACATTACACAATTTCATAATGTTTACATATATAAAGTGAAACACAATGAATTGTTTATTTTATTTTATTTTTATTTTTAATCTTCTAAGACTGTATCTGAAATAATATCTCTAAACTAGAAGTCGTCAACTCACCAGCATTGGACTCCCCTCAGCTATCATCTTTGCCAGCTCCTCAGGTGTAAGATCATTCAGGTCCATGCCATTTATCTGCAGAAGCTTGTCTCCTTTTCTGATGAAAATAAACAGTAAATAAATAAAATAAATGTACAATGTGCTTTACTGAGCCCTTTTGTGTTTGGCAGATGTAATAAAAGGAGTTAGAGTGTGTTCATAAATAATAATTTACTAGTTTTACTCTTTAAAGGGGTTATTTTTTCCACTACAGAAGGTCTCGTGAGTACACTGAGCTAGAGATGAACACAAAAAAAATCCACCCAAAATTGGAATAAAATTACAAAATAAGGCAACAGAATTATATAATACATCTTAGTTCATTTGCTCAATTCACCTATAATATTTCACAGTTTCAAACTTTTCTGGCATCATGTTGAAACGATTAAGTGGTAGAATTTGAAAACAGTGAAAATAAGAGAAAAAACAGGATTACATAATTAGGTATGCAACAAACTGAGATACTCCAAACTGAACTCATGCTCAAAGAAAGAAAGAAAAGAAAAAGAAATTCTGCACAAAATGCTGACTTTAAGTAATTTTATCACATTAAAATTTTGTAATTTTGTTACATTTTACGATGTAAAATGTTCCATTTAATGGGATCTGGTCGAATGTCAATGTACTTGACTGATATATGTTCATTTTATACCAAGTTTATTTCAGTTTATTCCTTAAGAATTAATTATTGCAATAAATAAACATCTTTCATCACTGCTTCATGTTTAATGAGGGTGAAAAATAGAAGGCTCAATATGTAAGCTGGAGAGAAAACCTCAATGTAAATATAAATAAAAACTAAGAGAGTTCTTTGTTTTTACCAAAAACATGGTCTTGCTAAAAAAAATTTTTTTTTAAATCCATAACATGAAGTTGGATGTCTGTGCAACGTTATATGACTACAACTTTTGAGGCTCTACAGTAAAACTGTCTTAGCTTCTTTCATAGCAGTACCTGGAAAATAGTTGAAGAGAAAGAATCCGCTAAACAGAGAGCAAATTATACCTGACATAAAGTTTTCCTTCATTCTCCATTTTGTACTTCACCACATTCTCCACTACATATTGATGCTTTCCCTCATGGATCTTATGTGCAATCAGCACACCGCCCTTAACCAGAGAATCCTAAAATGTACAAAAAGAACACAAACTTTAACTTTTCTCAACAAAGACAATCATGCCAGGATTATCTTTTAAGTGTATCTCACTACATGTAGTACTTATTGTTAGGGGACAGTTAAGCGTTGTCACCTACCTTCATGTCCATGGTGGCACCAATGTCCGCTCTAGATAGCGTTATACCACTGACTGAAACAGACTCCGGTGAAAGTGGCAGTTTATAAGTCTTCCAGTGTGTCTGTGCTTCAACTTATTATAGAACAAAAAGGGGAACTGTGAGTGAGAAAACACTGACACTGTCGTGGATGGGGAACTGCTGTCAAAAAAGGAAGTAAGAGAAGATTAGAACATTTTTGATGAAAAGTGGACACAGTATATGGTTTGTTTGAAAGCAGAACTTGTGAAGCATGTGGAAGAAGAAGCTTATGATTTAACTGTAAAATATCTTTTCAATAGCAACAAATACAGTGCTTTGATAAGTCACACACTTCCCCTTTTCAAAACTGATAGAGACTAAAATATTATCACATAGTATTACTATATAATATTACTCATATAACATCCCTTTTTTTCTTTCACTGCGTTTAAACTTCCTTAAAAACACCAATAATAAGGATTAAAAAACTTAGCATGAAAACCTGAAAAGCTTCAAATATAAATCCCAACAGTCAGATTTACAGTGTATCACAGATTACATGTAAGCTGTTGGAAAAAAAAATCTCTTCCCCTGTGACAGTTATGATGGAAATATATAATGTAACTAAATATCAGTTCATTTTTACCCGTGTCTGCCGGTACGTTAGAAAAAACACAGTACCAGATTGTGAACGTCTAATGCAAGTAAAATTCCTCCATTCAAACGTTCACTATTCATTTAACGCTTAAAAAGTAAAAAGATGCCACTTCTTAATTTGTACATTTCACTGCTTTAAACAGAGACGCTACCAACGGGGGGCCGGGGGGCCCTGGCCAACCCCCTGGCAAAACTGTCCTAATAATGTAAAAATGTTGCAGAAAAGCTGGTGCCAATCCCTGGACAGATCGCTGGTGCATCTCAGGGACAACACAGAGACAGGCAACATGATCGAATGCTTATTTTTCTTTCCTGAACAAGTTTGCTCTTAAAGTTAACTCCACTCTGAGAAAGTGAATCTTAAGCTGCTTCTGCTGACAATCATTAAAGTGATGGTTGGGACTTCCAGTCAATTAAAACAGATTAACATGGATTTCCAAATGTTTTTTGATTTTCATATGTACCTATTTTATGTCACATCAACTTTAATAGCGGGAAATTAACCAGGCATACAACTCCCAAAAAGTGGATTCTGTTCATCTGGACTTTTTTCAGCGGGAGAAACATTATGTCACTCATCCAAGTAACTTCTTCAGTCTCATATAGGGCATGTTTTTCAAGTAACCTATATTTGATGACAGCATATTAAAACTGGAAATTCAGTTTTTGGTGTGCCCCCACCCCAATATTTTTAGTGGCCCCTATAAGGCCACCCCTATGAAAAAATTCTGGATGCACCCCTTGCTGTACAGTACATATTTCATATTCTTGCTCAAAAAAGGTCAACCTATCATGAGTTCAGAAAAACAATGTTTCTTAAGTTTGTTTTAAGAAGGTGATTTTTGTGATGCCTCCATGCTGCCAGCAGCCATGGCTACCCAACTGAGAGAGATGGATTTAAAGCAGGGTTGTCATTTTAATATACATTTAATTACTATCTTATTATAAAAAAAAAGAAGTCAGCACAAATCTCTGAGCTTATAATGTATATACATATTTATAATTTGACCTCCACACAGTGTATTGCTTATCATTATTTGTGTTGAATTACAGTGTTTTAGTCCACTTTAATGACATGAAACGTGATATAGTGTCGCAACAAAAACGTTGGGATGTTCCGCCTCGGGAGTGAGAACAAGCTCAGTGTCCTCACAATTTTTGTCCTCAGCACCACCTAGTGGAGGACACCATGATTTATTAGAGAAGAGAAGAGAGGGTTTCTGGATATTTACTTTACAGCATTGAATGCTGAACTCCTATTTAAAGTAATTTTGAAATTTTCCACAAGAGCCTGTTTATGTGGATCATTGTTTGATTGATTATTTGAATAAATCATAAAGCTGTTTTTCATTCTTTTAACACTGCACATCATCACCAAATGGATGAAAGAAAGTATTAACAATTGATATGAACTCATTTTAAATAATGGTTTTAGAATATTTAATAGATTTTTTTTATCCCTCCTTGGATCTTGATGTTATTGATAAATGGCAGTTTGCTTGTCTTTCCTTTTGCCTTCTAGAGACCCAATAACAAAACCAATGTTGTTTTTGAATCTAATTATCCAGTCACACATGTGTGATGTGTCTGTAAGAGTTAGTTTTCTTTTCTCTCTTTTTTTCTTTTTTTTGGGCATTTTCTTTTTTTTAATTTTTATTTATTTATTTGATTTGCCTGTCCCTTTTGGATCTTTAGCCATCAGATTTGTTGTCTGAAGGCCAAGAAAGATGCCAAGCGGATTTACTTTACCAATTGGATCATCATGGCCTTGCCATATTGGTCCATTTAATTATGTATATAATTATAATTATGTATTTATTTGCTTTGATTTTCGGTTGTTACAGACGGGACAGACATGACTGGGGGATAGGACAGGGAGAAAGAATGAAAGAAAGAGAGGGAGGAAGAGAAAGAAAAATAGAGGGGAGAAGAGACGGTGAGAAAGGGGGGAAGAAAAAAAAAGAAAAAACAAACACAACACCTGGATCACCTGTATAAGAAAAAACAGAAGAGAAAACAAACCAAAAAGAGCAACATAATAAATACAACACCATCACAATAAACTAGCTAACAGTAGATAACAGTAGATACTAAATATTAAATGTTATTGTGCAGTACGCAAGCTCGACAGCGCACAATGTGCTTTGAGGTAGCACCCAAGAAAGGTGTAGTTTGTGTCTGTGAACACCTGTGTGCACACCTGTATGGATCAGCATGCTTCTATTCAAAAGGTTTCTCCATGTAACGATCTGCAAGGGAGTGTGGGGAGCCATAGCCCCGTGCCCCAGGGCATGAAGCAGATATTGAGGAGATCCAGGCCCCAGACATCCAGAGGCCCCAGAGTACGAGGACCCAAGGAGGACCACCACAGGGGCAACTGTGCCACCCTCCTGGGAAGAGCTGAGGAGAGCCCCAAACGAGAGGTCACCCAGCAGCCACGGAGCAGAGGCCAGAGGGGGTTGCTGTGACGTGCCCGCGGGCTCTTTCGGCAGCCAGCTGTGCCAGAGAGGACCAGGCCTCAGGCCCAGAGGCCAGAGGCTTGAGGGCACCCCACCCCCCGGAAGGGGCCCAGCCGGGCCACAGGCACCAGGTCCCGCCAATCGGTCACCAGGAGTGAGTTAGTATTTTCTAACTGGTTGATTTCATTGTGCTTTGGCGGATGGGAGTAAATATATATTACTGTCTGTAAGCGACTGTGTGAACATTGCTTTATTGTAAAGATGAAGGTCACCCAAACCTAGTAATTCAACAAAAATAATGGTCAGTGAGACAGTTTGTGACAAGAAGGTCATGGCGGCTCATTGTGCAGACTGTCCTGTAATTATGAAACAGAATGTTTTGTTAATTCACAGAAAATGTCCTTCTTTTTGTCTTCATTTATTGTTTTTCTCCAAAGAAAACAAAAAAAAAAAACCCACACAAACAAATTTCCTTAGGCAGTGAAAAAAGAATTTTTTTTCTCATTTAGTTATTTATCTGTTACTTAATTACTTTAGTGCTGTATAAATAGCCTTGGGGGAGGTCTTCATCAATAAGACAGTCTGTAAAACTCATGAAAATGTATACCGGTACCCTCCTTCACTTATTATTAGTCTTTGTTGGGACAATTCTGGCCCCTGGGCTTTATGTTTGACACACCTGTTTTAAAGCCTCCAGAGAATATCAGCGCTGTCCGCAGCTAGAAGCCTGTAAAAACTTTCTTTTTCACATAACTGTATGACTGCAAACATATCTGTTATGCAGGGACTTTGATGCTTTGCTGCTATGATGAGTTGTTACTAAATTTATACAAGCGCGCACACACAAACAAGCAACCACACATTCTGCAGTTATTTCCAGCGTGCCCTGTGGAGCCACTGACATCCAGCTAAATCCGTAGATGTTCAGGTGGATTGAATTACATGAGAAGCCCACTCCACTGTCGCAACATTGGTAACAGCGGCACACGGTGGACCCTCAATCCAGTGTACTGGCCAGTTTTTCACCATCTCAGAAGCCAAAATAAGCTGATGAATAAATCCAAACAGGTACTGTGACATACTAAACATACAATGAGAAATTGTGCATGAAAGTGTGTGTCTGCCTCCTGAGAAGTTTTTTAAAACTCTACCTGGGAGAGTTTTAAAGACTCTTACAGTATTGATAAGTATGTAGCATTTTATCTGCTTAAATCTTGGCAAGAAAACAAGACAGCTTAAGTCTGCATTTGCATTTTCGAGTGAACTTTGACAAACTGTGTTGTTTGAAGTTTCCTAAATTGCTTTTCAGAAACTCATACCAACTTTCTCAGTGTTGTCTTTAATAAAATCAGCAATATAAGAGTTGTACTGTTTGACATCATTACTGTACAGTGGGGCAAAAAAGTATTTAGTCAGCCACCGATTGTGCAAGTTCCCCCACTTAAAATGATGACAGAGGTCAGTAATTTGCACCAGAGGTACACTTCAACTGTGAGAGACAGAATGTGAAAAAAAAATCCATGAATTCACATGGTAGGATTTGTAAAGAATTTATTCGTAAATTAGGGTGGAAAATAAGTATTTGGTCACCTCAAACATGGAAAATCTCTGGCTCTCACAGACCTGTAACGTCTTCTGTAAGAAGCTTTTCTGTCCCCCACTCGTTACCTGTATGAATGGCACCTGTTTGAACTCATCATCTGTATAAAAGACACCTGTCCACAGCCTCAAACAGTCAGACTCCAAACTCCGCCATGGCCAAGACCAAAGAGCTTTCGAAGGACACCAGGAAAAGTATTGTAGACCTGCACCAGACTGGGAAGAGTGAATCTACAATAGGCAAGCAGCTTGGTGTGGAAAAATCAACTGTGGGAGCAATCATCAGAAAATGGAAGACATACAAGACCACTGATAATCTCCCTCGATCTGGGGCTCCACGCAAGATCTCATCCCGTGTGGTCAAAATGATCATGAGAACGGTGAGCAAAGATCCCAGAACCACACGGGGGGACCTGGTGAATGACCAGCAGAGAGCTGGGACCAAAGTAACAAAGGTCACCATCAGTAACACACTACAACGGCAGGGAATCAAATCCCGCAGTGCCAGACGTGTTCCGCTGCTGAAGCCAGTGCATGTCCAGGCCCGTCTGAAGTTTGCCAGAGAGCACATGGATGATGCAGCAGAGGATTGGGAGAATGTCATGTGGTCAGATGAAACCAAAGTAGAACTTTTTGGTATAAACTCAACTCGTCGTGTTTGGAGGACGAAGAATACTGAGTTGCATCCCAAGAACACCATACCTACTGTGAAGCATGGGGGTGGAAACATCATGCTATGGGGCTGTTTTTCTGCCAAGGGGACAGGACGACTGATCCGTGTTAAGGACAGAATGAATGGGGCCATGTATCGTGAGATTTTGAGCCAAAACCTCCTTCCATCAGTGAGAACTTTGAAGATGAAACGAGGCTGGGTCTTCCAACATGACAATGATTCAAAACACACCGCCCGGGCAACAAAGGAGTGGCTCCGTAAGAAGCATTTGAAAGTCCTGGAGTGGCCTAGCCAGTCTCCAGACCTCAACCCCATAGAAAATCTGTGGCAGGAGTTGAAAGTCCGTGTTGCTCGGCGACAGCCCCAAAACATCACTGCTCTCGAGAAGATCTGCATGGAGGAATGGGCCAAAATACCAGCTACTGTGTGTGCAAACCTGGTAAAGACCTATAGTAAACGTTTGACCTCTGTTATTGCCAACAAAGGTTATGTTACAAAGTATTGAGTTGTATTTTTGTTATTGACCAAATACTTATTTTCCACCCTGATTTACCAATAAATTCTTTACAAATCCTACCATGTGGATTCATGGATTTTTTTTTCACATTCTGTCTCTCACAGTTGAAGTGTACCTCTGGTGCAAATTACTGACCTCTGTCATCATTTTAGGTGGGGGAACTTGCACAATCGGTGGCTGACTAAATACTTTTTTGCCCCACTGTATGTGTGTTTCAGATGGTGATACACGATGTGTTAATAATAGGAAGTGGCCCTCATGCCCTAACCCTGGCTAGCTTGCTATGTAGCAATGACTGGGACCCAAAATCAGATGTTAGACATGACTCGCTGTTCTCCACCTCCACCACCAAGTCTCAGCCAAGCACAGAAACATCCAGCAACAAGCCCAATACTAGCAAGATGAAGAGGAAGAAGAGGGTAACAGATGGTATGGTGTGCTTATCTTTACTTTCTCAAAACTGGGAAGATGTTAGGATTGTTACTGAGAATCTGAGTGTTCACAGGGAAACATTTTCAGGCAATTAACCAAACCGTCCAGGCAAAATGAACTGAAGACAGATTGTTTGAACCGTTTTAAGCAGAAATGCCAGACGTAATGTAGATCTGTTTATAAAGGGTTTGCACTTTATTTTAAAAAGCAGAGAATATTATTGGGCTGTTGGTCAGACAAAACAAGTAGATTGAAGAACATGAGTGATGAGAAACTGGGAGTTTTTCATAGTTTTGTAATATTTTGTTAACTAAACTACAAATGATAAAAAATCTAAAGTATCTTATTACGAATAAATAAAATTCAAGTATCCACACAAACTGAACCAGATAATTTTGATTTTTTTTTAGTCATTTAGACTTTTTCTGGATAGTTTTTAAATTGACTGTTTAAAAAAAAAAAGCCAGCTTTTGTAATTCGCCAATTTTTCAGACATAACTGAGTTTTATGTGAACATGATAATGAGACTGAAGACGCACTTATTTTGATATCCACTGATGCTGTAAATAAGAATGAACAGTTCTCTCTGTTCTCTTTGTTGACAAATTAAATATTCTGCAGGCCAGGCGATGGAGGTGCAACATGCAAAGTTAACCACATCGGAGAGGACAGTTTGTTCCCCACTCAGTCTCAGAGTGGTGGACACCTATGGAGAGTGGACTGCTCTGTGGGAGAGCCAGTTCACAGCTCTGAACATCCCTCATCTGCGCTCACACTCGCTGGTGCACACAGACCCTCTTAATAAGGTAGAAGCACAATCGACTTCCCCTACTGTGGAAATGAGGTACGAATAAGAACGGTGTTAACGTGTGAATATTTGTCCTGACAGAAAGCGCTGCAGGAATTTGCTTTAAGGTGCGAGCGCTCGGCAGAGCTTCATAGCCTCCCAGAGCAGGTTTATATTCTGGATGAAAATGCGTTCTTTAACGACATGAGGCTCGGCAAGAAAGAGAGGAAACGTCTAAACATCAGCTCTGGGCTAAAGAAGAGTTTGTCCTTCAGTCTGCCAGGAGCAAAACTAAGTGTGGATTTCTTCAAGGAGCAGGTGAGAGCAGCTGTGCGTGTAAATAGCATGTGTGCTTGTCTTGTTTGAAGGTGCACTGCATTGATTGGTACACTTTGTAAGCTTTGATTGCTGCTCTTTTAACACCACATTTGTGTTACTGAATAAGAGAAGTTTGCATGCAAAACAGAATATAAACTTTGAATCCTAAAATGAGACATTTCTTTTAGACAATGTGATTTCTTCTCTACCTGTTGCTGTTGGGGGAGCATCAAAGTTTGGAACAGAGCTGTGCTTTAGGATTTTATTTTGTTTTTAGATTCAGCTTGTTCAAACAGTGGGATTTCTTGTCAGCTTTTATTATTTTGAAGATGTCTAGTTTTAATTTAGTTTTTATTAGCTTCATAGTTAAGTCTTTTTCATTTTTAATGTATGGAGGACATATGCCAGAGGCAACATTTAAGAATGTAAGAAAACCAGCAAGCTAATACAATAAGAACATCAATATTTGAAAACTATTGACTCGTGGTCTTCTAGACATCCATCACAGACTCATCAAACCTTATTCTTATAATTTAAGAAATAATCCAACTAATTTTATATCCTCCATATTTTATTTTAGTTGGTTTTACAACTTCACAAAATTAGTTTAGTTAGTTTCAATGTTATATTTGTTTTTAACAGTTGTAGTTTTTATCTTTTATTTTGGTCAACTCAAATATTTTTTTCACACCTACTTTTAGGTTTGAGTTTAGTTTTCACTATTAAAAAAAACTTTGCAATAATGTAACTAATGTTGGATGACCTCTTCTGCTGCTTCGAGAAATTCACCAAAACACCAACGGCAACAATAAATTGCTAATTGCTACCACTTATCCTACCAAATTTAAGCAGCATGAGCACCAAAATTTGAGAATTGCTGTTTCCTTAGCTATTTCAGTTAAAACACAGGTGGAGAGATACAAGTTGGACAAAGTACTGCTGAAGGGAACAGTGGAGCACATCACCCCTGTGAAGGAAGACGAGACAGAGATGAAAGACGAGAACTTGAAACAGGAGGAGGAAAATCAGAGTGACGTCTTCAAGGTGTCTGATGCAAAGAGAAATGGGGCGGGGAAGACAGCTAAATATTTTCAAGTCCAACTTGAAGATGGCACCATCCTAAGAGCCTACCAGGTCGTCATGGCAACAGGTCCGACCCGTGCCCAGATGGCAAACATCCCATCGTGGGTGAAAAGCATTGGTGAAAGCTACCCAGAGGAGCGTTTACTGCATACAGTTCATCTCATGCATCATCTGCCGAATTCTAAGCAAAAACCTCGAGAAACAAATTGTGTGAGAGACAAAGATACTTTCGCTCCTCAAGGTATGTGAGATTTCTTTTAGAAATAATTTGATTACATAAACATTAAAGCTTTAGTGACCCAGTATCTTAAAGTAAAACTCCGCTTTGTGAGTTGTTTGCACGTTTCCTAGAATGTTATAACCTTTGCTTTCTGATAAATGTCTTTGCTTCTGCAGACTTCGTTGGCCATTTGGCACCTATCCTCACACCTGCTCCTCCCTGTGCAAATACTGTGTGCTTGTGTGTTTCTGTCATTGTATGTAGTCTGTGAGCCCGGCCAGAGAGTAATGGTCATTGGTGGAGGTCTGACCAGCGCTCACGTCATCTCAGTTGCACTGCAACAAGGTGCCAGCCATGTGACATGGGTTATGAGAAAACACCTCCAGGTTTAGAGACTGTAAAACGGCACATGAACCAAAAATTAATAATAATTCTGTCCAACTCGAGTACACATTTTAGCTCGTGTTGTTTTCTTCCACAGCTGAAACAGTTTGACGTGGGTGACGTTGAGAGTTTGGTGGGTCGTTACTCTCATGTGGAGCACGGCATCAAGATGGATGGCCAAGCCTACCTACGGCAGTTCTACAATGAGAGGAGTCTCCACAAACGCCTTGCAATGATTCATCAGGCAAGGAAGGGAGGGGCCGTCACCCCGGAGGCCTACATCCAGCTGCAGCCATTCATAGTGAACGGACAGGTGGATGTGAAGACGTACTGTCAGGTTTGTATTCAGTGTAGAAGGTCCCAAGAGTAAAATGAGATATGACCCACCAAGTAATGACAAACTTCTGAGTTCTACTACCTTTCCAGCATCCTAATATGGACAAGTCACCCATGTTGGAGTTGCACAATGCAGTTACCTCACTGGCTTGACAGTGTGATAACTGCATTGTGTGCATTGTATGTCAAATAAGGCCTATAATGAACAGGGAGATAAAGAATCTCACACCGTCTAGGTGAGTGAAGCCAGCTGGTGCTACAGAAACCAGGTCTGGAGCCTTTCCCTCACCACCGGGGAGCACTGGACTGGAGATAAGATTTGGATTGCCACTGGCTGCAAACTTGATGTGAAACAGGACCCATTACTTTCTGAAGTGATGAAGGAATTCCCAATTCAGGTGTGTTATGTAGAGAAATGTGTAGTGTTTGTGCATGTACAACACAGAAGTGTATTGTACATGCACAAAGGTTTTGGAAATTACTTGGATGATGAGGAATTTTTTTATGTTTTCATGTAGTTTTTTTCTGCAATCAGTCTCTGGATATAAAAATAAATTATTGATGACATGTGTTTTGTGTTCTTTAGGTGATAGACGGATGGCCGTGCATAACGGAAAGCTTACAGTGGACAGAAGAATGCCCACTCTACCTGATGGGGCAGTATGCAGCTCTTCAGGTAAGTTTTACAAATTGTATTTGTAGTGATGTTTTTTTTTAGTTATATTACAGGCTGGCCGTGCCTTTCCCCCCAATTTCTCACATAGGTTGGACCTCATGCAGTAAACCTCGCTGGAGGACAGGCTGCCAGCATGAGGATTGCCAAGGACATTATAGGCCGTCATCAGCAGAAGGGTGGGCAGGCTGTTGAACTAAGTGGACAAAAACCAAAAACTGAAGAATACATTCAACAGATGCGAGGTCTGTTTTGGCTGTAAAATGACCACTTAGCCTGAGAAAGTCAAAAATAGCTGCTAGCCATTGCTCAAAAATAGAAGTCATCTCTTCCTGTTTATCTTGGTCAAGGTGTACTTGGAGAATAATAAATGTGGATGACTGAATATATGATCAAGTTTGGGAACTTCAACAAATGTGGTTTTAATAAAACGTTGATTTTTATGGGTACTTTATTTATGGGCTGTCAGACATACAGTCCTGATGTTGAACTGCATAAACAGGGTCTCTCGCAGCACGCCATCACTACTGAGATGGGGCGCAGTAAGATAGTCATTTGGAATTTCTTAAATGATCCTGAGGATCATGGAACAAAAACGTCAAGTGGAAGACCTAAAAAATTTCACCAGCACTGAGTGAAAAAATTGTTGTTTATTTGTTTAATAAATTTTGATCAACAAACTTTCCTTGTCTAATCATGCCCCATGGTGTGGTCTTTCTTTACTTGTGACTTCTTGATGTTGATAAATACAGTAAGTGAAAAAATATATATAATATACATAATAATGTTCAACACATTATGCTTCTGCTCTGAGGTCCTGCCTCCATGTACTTATGCAATTAATCACAGGACAGCTGGACAGGTGTGTTTATAAATAATATTAAATTAGGCCAATTTTCTTATCCATACTTTTTGACCTGAGGGTAGAATTGATTGTGAACAGGAAAGAGAAAATGCTTATGAACTTGCAAATTAAAAACGTGATGCATTTAAGGTCATCCCGTTTGGTTTTTATTTAAGATGGGAATTTGTTCCACTGTGTGATGGCCGAGTTTCTTTTCTTGGAGATAGTTTCTCCTGCCTCAGAGAAAATCCTCTCACATGGAACAGAAGACGCTGGAGTGCAGAAAGTGTAGATATACAGGTATTGTTAGGTGTGGCTGTGTGCAGGCAGGAATAGGACCCAAGGTGCAGACTCCGGAGACAGACGTGAACTCAAAAAAGGCTTTAATTTAATACTAAAAATATAACAAAACTAAAAAAAAACTCAAAGCAAACTTAAACTAGAGAAATGACAGAACACACAGCTAAGAAAACGGTAGATCGCGACACAGACACTAAGAAACACAGGGCTTAAATACACAGAGGGAGCAATCAGGAAATGAGTAACAGGAGGGAAACACAGCTGGGGCAAATCAGAACTAACGAGACAAAAGAAACCAAAACCAAACACACTAACAAAAGACAGAGACCTTCAAAGTAAAACAGGAAACACATAACACAGACTGAACAAAGACACAGACTCATATGCAGGCACTACAAAGGGAACAGAGACGTGGGAACAGGGCAGACACAAACACTGACTGAACACGGGGATAGGAACTTAGGATACACATAGACGCGAACTAGACAAGGGGATGCAGGTGATAGGGGAGACATAAGCCATAAGACGGAACTCAAAGAAACCAAAAACTAGAAAGTATAAATAATAACATAAACTCAAACACCCTGGGTCAACGACCCAGGCATCCTAACAGGTATACCGTCTTCCTGGGTCCCACAGACAGCTAAAACGATTTTTAAAAAAAATTAAATTGTTGCGCATTTTGTAGAATAACATTTTAAGATTATTTTAAAAATGCATATTTTTTTAATATTAAATTTAAGTCAAATGGAAGTGTTTCTTAAGTTATATAAGGATATTTATATTATGAAAAGCAGATTTCTGACATTTTAAGTTTTTCACATTTTAAGATAAAAAAATAAACACACAAAACAAAAACAAACAAGAACTGAAAGCTGGCAAACCCACCCAACTGACCAAAAACCAACCAGAGCCAACCCGTTCTCACTCCCAAAGCGTAACATTTTACACTAGGTGACAAATCGTCACCTGCTACACGTCCGCCAACAGCTCCACGTTCTCCCTCTGTACTCGTGCCTGCCTGCAACAAAGCGAGCGCGAGCGATGTCTGTCTCTACCTGCGCCTAGGGACACAACCGTTGCGGCATTTAATCATAAGGCTGAAAAATGATTAGTCATCCCTCCGCCCAAAACACAAACATACACCCGCTTCCGCCCCTGGCTTGTTATAGTAGGCTGCAATCTGAGCAGGTGAAGTTCCAGAAAAAAACTCGCTCCTGTCCGGCAGGTGAGTGTAACTACAAGCTAACAAGCTTGTATGAGCTGGATATAGCCTCTAAAAAGAAGTAGACGGCTAGTGCTTCTACACAGAGTGAGAACGGGCTTGTTCTTTACCGTGGTATGCTTTTTTTCTGTAAACGTCATTCTCCAGTCGCATTTAAACATTGCCGAAAGGGTTTTTCATGGCAGGTAATGCAGTACGGTGCGCCTTTATTTCCTAGAAAATGACGCAGTGTGGTTAAAGTTGTTCACTGAACAGAAAACAAGGGACTGCTGGTCACGTGATCACCAGACCAGCCTGCAAATCGGCTTCAAATCATCAACGGACATCGTTTCAGGAAGTGATCACACAACAGAGCCGGGAGCGAAAAGAGACGGCGTAGGCCTAACAAGGTCTGAAGAAGTATCAAATGAATACAGCGAAAGTTACAAGACCGAGCCGACAGCGAGAACTGATGATCAGCTGACCGATCAGCTGATCACTGCCGTCAGACTCTATGAACTTTTCGCAGTGGCGCCAGATCAGCTGAGATCCTCCAGTTCGCCCAATCAAGTGTTTAAAAATCGGGGAATGAAATAGGGGCTATTTTGTCATATCTTGGTATTTTACAGTATTTTATTTCAGAATAGTCGCCTACAGCAGAGTTGAGGTTTTTTCTTCAGGATGAAATAATTAATAATCTATTAAAAACGTTTTTTTACTTTGAGACTTCTAAGTCATTTGAGACACTACAGTCAATAAATACAGATTTTTTTTTTTTTAGAAAAGAAAGGTGAACTGAAACTTACACTGGTGCATTTTAAGAGTAAGGAAGTGCTTTAATAAAGATGGAGAGTTGAAATCTGAGTAATAGATATAAAATGAAAATTATTCACAAAAGTTATTACAAGTAGCGAATCAACAAATAAAAAAGGCATGTCACGGGTAAAATAAAGATTTTCTTCTTATTATTATCCTTTTTTTAGTGAATGCTGAGGTATGTTATGTATTGTTTTATATCATTGTTTTGAATGTTTATGTATATGTTGTATACATTGTAGTGACTACCGAAATCTTCCCCAGAACAATGAATGTGAGGAGAGTGCAAAAGACAGTTCTGAGTGTGGAACAGGAAGAGGGCCTCGGCGCTCGGGTCCGCAGGAGCATTGGGAGAAAGGAGGTACGCTCTTCAGCTGTCATGCTGCTTGCTGAAAATGCACTCAACAGCACTCCTCAAACATATGCTGCATATTTTATTTCCAGCTGAGGAACCTGGATCCTTTTTTGATGCTGGATGAGTTTAGAGTGAGCAAGCCAGCGGGATTTCCAGACCATCCTCACAGAGGATTTGAGACGGTGAGGCTGTGTGAGTGTGTGACCAAAGATTTACAAGTTCCAGATTCTCAAGTTTGGGAATTTGCTGCTCTTCCTTCCTGCGTTTGGTCTTTCTGTTTGCGGGGGGGGGGG